GTCACTTGAAGCGATGCTTTGTTTATTGTGCTTTGTTCCCTAAAGACTATGAATTTGACAAAAAGGAGTTGGTTCTGTTATGGATGGCTGAAGGCTTGTTACAACAACAATCACATGGAAAGAAGCAAATGGAAGAGGAGATTGGTCATCAATATTTCCACGAGTTGTTATCAAGATCACTCTTTCAACAATCAAGCAAAGATGAATCACAGTTTGTGATGCATGACCTCATACATGATTTAGTCGTAGATATTGCTGGAGAAATATATTGCAATCTTGAACATAGCACAAGTGATGGAAAATTAGAGAAGGCTCATCATTTGTCATTCACTCCACACTTGTATGAAATCTTAGAAAGATTCACAATGTTGGATAAATTGAAGCATTTGAGAACATTATTGCCGCTAAGAGCTCTTAGTTATTGCACTCTCTATTTGTCTAAGAAAATCTTGCATGATTTCCTCCCAACTTTAAATCGCTTAAGAGTGCTATCTCTTCACAGATATAATATAAGCCAACTACCAGATTGTTTTGAAAATTTGAAACATATCCGGTACATTGATTTATCTTTTACCTTAATCAAATGTCTTCCAGAATCAGTGGGTTCTCTTCTCTTCTTGCAAACACTGCTATTATGTGGTTGTTATAAGCTTGCCAAGTTGCCTATGACAATTGGGAAACTAGTTGATCTCCATTATCTTGATATAAATGATACACCATCTTTAAAAGAGATGCCATCAGAAATAGGTAATCTTAAAAATCTTTTAACAATGTCCAAATTTATTGTTGGGAAGGAAAGGGGGTTGATGAGATTATTTGATTTGAAGAACTTGTTGCAACTTCGAGGAAGGCTGTTTATTCTAGATCTCCAGAATGTTTTGGACGTTCAAGATGCTAGGGAGGCCAACCTAAACAAGATCCATGGTTTGGAAGAGTTAGTGTTGGAGTGGACTACTTCTAATAATGATCTAGATGAATTAGTTCTTGAAATGCAGGTCCTCAGCTGGTTAAAACCTCATTCAAATTTGAAAAGTCTTGAAATTTCTTGCTATGGTGGCAAGTGTTTCCCAAATTGGGTTTGTGAT